GCATGCAGCTCTTGGAATACTTGAGTATATAATCATAAAGCCTAGCCAGGTATTCATTGCTTGATGAGGGTGAGCGATATACAGCGATCAAGATGAATGACTCCTTTCCGTAAGTAACACGAAGACACAGACTTTCATGATCAGTTATTTGATCTAGCACTACAGCAGATAGGCTGCTTTTTAAAATGACGGCTACACCGCCACCACGGGAGGGTCTATCTCTTCGGTATATATTGAATGAACCAGCAACTATATCACGGTCATCGATTTCATCGCTTAGCCACGTCTCAGTTAATACTGTCACGTGAGGATCGTGACAAAGCATTACACTTTCAAGCTCCACAGTTTTGTTTATTATGCTTCTGGCATTAATGTTTAGAAGGCGCAAGTACTGTGGTGGAGAGTGCCGGTGATGTCACGTGCTTTCTGGTTGGTGGTGCGTAGATGAAATTTTTACCCGTGCGTTCTTGCTGTCATCCCATATAAACGTGTCGTCATCAATGCGAAGTTTATCGTTAACCATAAAGACACGCCTTCCATCAGCTTTATCACTCCTGGCACTCTCCCACTGCAGCTTACGCTTTCGAAGTGTGCAACGTGAATAGTCATTTTCAATAAAAATGTGCGTGCCTTTTAGTTTTTTAGCGTTCTTCAGAATAGCCTGCTTTTCGTTATAATCTTGGAGGTACAAAATGACCGGACGATTAGCTTTCTTTCGACCGAGTCGGTGAATTCTACCAATTGAACAACATTTCACATCAAGTTTCTTCTCAAACAGTTCCCCGACTACGTGATCTTTAAGCTGAAGGTCAGTTTCATTATTTGGCTCTGGTAATCCATAAATCACTAAATTAGAGCGACGACTACGGTCCTCAAGATCAACAAGTTTTTCAGTTTGTTGTGCTGTGTTAGTCTGGAGCAAACTTAACGTGCTGTCGAGACCATCTATTTTGGATGTAGAAGAGCTCATGAGTTGCAGGAGTCTTTCCAGCTCAGTTACTTTAGTACGAAGGGAGGCTATTACTGCATCGGAAGCAACTAGCTGTGACTTCAAGTCGTGAATACCATTAAGGATCTCAGCTTGTCCTTTGAGAATGTTATCTAACATGCAATCACTGTCGGGGCCAGGGTTTGATTCAACGTCCCCACAAAGCAGGAGCCGACAAACAAGAAAACAATCATACATGATACACATACAAGTGCCTGGGCATGGCAAAATAACAAGAAACCTATTGCTAGATCTTACTGAGCAATGTGCGTAACGAACCTGAACAACGAAAAGGACGGATTCGGTCAGCATCGTGGTTGGTTTCACTTCGCCATGCCCAATGAACTGGAAGTGCTGTAGGCCGGTGTTTATAGCTCCCGCCGAAGGTGACGTCACTGATCGCAGCGCCACGCCGATGTCGATGAGAAGATAGGGTTCCGGCATGCGTGAAGGTACTGGCATGAGGTCAGACAAGGACGGAGATGACGAGGCAGTTGCAGGGCATCGGAGCGGCGGCGGCAGGCCAGCAGGGCTAGCGAGACCGCAGCAGAACAGGAACGCCTGAACAACGAAAAGGACGGATTCGGTCAGCATCGTGGTTGGTTTCACTTCGCCATGCCCAATGAACTGGAAGTGCTGTAGGCCGGTGTTTATAGCTCCCGCCGAAGGTGACGTCACTGATCGCAGCGCCACGCCGATGTCGATGAGAAGATAGGGTTCCGGCATGCGTGAAGGTACTGGCATGAGGTCAGACAAGGACGGAGATGACGAGGCAGTTGCAGGGCATCGGAGCGGCGGCGGCAGGCCAGCAGGGCTAGCGAGACCGCAGCAGAACAGGAACGCCTGAACAACGAAAAGGACGGATTCGGTCAGCATCGTGGTTGGTTTCACTTCGCCATGCCCAATCGTACTAAACATGATTGTAAACCTGAGACTGGGGCAGGAAGAGAACACAACAGAAGGTAGTAAAAGAGGAGGCAACGTCTCAAACTCAGCTGCAAAGTTTATTTCGAACACGCTTTATATACCCCATCTCCAGCGCCGTCTCTACCAAAAAAAAAAAAAGCAAAAACACAACACATGACAAGAGGACGATGACACTTCGGTAAACCTTTCTCTTATCTCCCTTGACCTTGGCTGTGGGACACTCGCACAAAGGGACACATTCTAGCATAACCACCGCTACACGGCGAACGTAGGTGGAAACACTACTGAACACAAAGAAAGGGTTTCACCTTGAAAGGTGCGTTCCCTCTAACAAATCACTCAGTCCAAAGAAACAATACTATACACTGCTACCAGCCGGAACTGGGGCCATCTCCAAAAATGAGGACGACATTGCCGTCCTACCACGAACCACAAATGGATAACACAGCGACTTTCTCGAACAAGTCCAAGGATACACATATAAACAACACTAGTAATACAAAAAAAAAAAAAAACCTTTACAAGTGTAGAAATTGTTTACATTCGTTCCCAAACTGCAATGACGCCTGACTTATACAGTTGCCAGACGTTTTTATACGAATCGTTTCTTGGACTACACGTTTTATATCATTGCGTTCTTTGTGAATTACTTCCGTTTCGGACCAGTTGGCTTTACAATTATTACACTCTAGAAGGTGCCTCGCTAACTCGGAATTGGACGCGTTGTTTATCACATTCCGTTTGTGTTCTGTCAGTCTATCATTTAGACATCTCGACGTCTGACCTGCGTTTTTTAAATCCACACTCCAAAGGAATCTCATAAACCACCGAATTCTCACACGGTACCGACTTCTCGCGATGTGCCTTCTGGCAAACTTCCTGTTTCAATTCAAAAGGTGTAAGCTTGCACAACTTAAAATCAGAAGTGAACACTGTTTCTACGCCAAACCTTTTCGCCGACGCTTTTATGTTATGGGAAATATCGTGAAAATACGGTATAGTAACTCGTCGGTTCCTAACAGTTGGTTCATTCCGCTTGTCTCTGATTTGAATAGAAAATTGCCGTTTTAGAAAAGTTTCATCATACCCCGCGTCCTCCAGTCTACCCCATTGTCTTTTTAAATCTTGACTCATGAAATGGGTACACGACCTTTTTAGCGCATTACCAATTAACGATTTCGCAACTCCCGCCTTAATAATTTTAGAGCGACAACTCTGTCTCGGGAGCACCGGTTTAGCCATCTTCTTACCATATTCCCAACATAAACCATTTTTTACCTGAATGCGAAAGTCCAAAAACTGCAACATGTTCTCCTCTGGTTTTTCTACTGTGAAACGCAACTCCGGGGCCGTTGACCTAATAAGCTTTTCAAGATACTCCGACTTTCCTTTTTCAAACATGAAGACAAAAATATCATCTACATATCTTCTGATGAAGCCCACGTTAGGTGACAACTCATTCATCCTGTCAAACAATACTCTATCCAAACTGTTGAGGTATATTTCAGCTAACAACGGAGCGACGGACGAGACTATGCATTTTCGTATATCTTACTAATTTAGTTTTCAAACATTCGATCGCCATGCATATTAAACTGTTGTCCATTTTCGAGATATTCCACACCTGTATTTGGTACTCACAGAAAAACATTTTCTCCGAGCTATTGTCTGACAAATGTGATAAATGTAAGGCGCGATGATGATAAACTACAGATACTAGAGGAAAAAAGGGAAAGCGGCGGACTTAGCACCCCAAAACGACGTCGGCCTCCCCTGCGGGCGCTGGAATCCAAGTTAGTGCGGTACACAGGAGCGATTATAACGTGTACCGCATGGCAATATCCATAGAAACTTAAAGTGGCGCCCCTAATTCACATCCTCGCGGTGGCTTGTCGCTCGGATCTGGTCGATACAGATAATAGGGAGTTTTAGGGAACCGTTTTTGCACACCCAATACGGTGCGATGGGCCCTCCGGTACAAACTGCGTATTTGAGTGTCTTCTGGAGTAGCGCATGCGCAGTGCGTATCGGAGGGCCCATCGTACGGTATAGGATGTGCGAAAACGGTTCCCTAAAACTCCCTAATGCTGCGCGGTGTGCCTGTGGTGAGCCAAGCGGCGAGACGCGAACGTTGCACGGAGCCCAGTTTCGACGCTTAAGGGTTCTCTGCTTTATCGCAACGCCGATCTGACGTCATCGCGTTATCTATGAGTCACGTGTTAGTAGAAGAGGCCCGACACATTGTGATGCCTCCTCGAATATCTTGGGCACGTGCTCCATTCGTGATCCGTGTCCTATTAAAACCGGAGAGCTCGGACAGAAAATGGGACATGTTAAGACGAGACCGGTTTTTAAGCCTCTTGCGATCTCGTAGGACCAGCTCCGCTGCATCGCATCCGGTCCTAAGAAGTCGCGAGAGGCTTAAAAACCGGTCTGGTCTCTCTCAGTCTTACTCGGTCGCAAGAGTGCGAACGGCGCTTTGTGCGTCTCTGTTAATTCGTACTGTGTGTTGTCTCCTTTTATTTTGGCCGTCATCTCCGGTTAAAATTATGCGTCACCTCAGCAAACAGCCTGCTTGCTACAATTTTTCCCACCATTCATCAGAACTCTTCCGCTCGCCAAAAGTGAGATAACGAAAAACACCTCCTATATCGTTGTAAGATAAAAAAAAAAGGGTCAGTTTGGGGAATTTATACGTGACGAAGACAAACAACCGAATAAACCTACACGAAGTAAAGATAGAATCACGAAAGGACACTGCTGTACTCGCAACTGAAGTATGAATGAAAACGGCATACGGCGCAAAGCAAGCGAATTGAGTTAGTCATGCTCATGCATATTTTTATTTCGATTAAGTTACTTTGATCGCTTCCTTCGTGCCCTTTTGGTTTATTAAACCTCTGTTGCGCGTACAGGAGTGCCGTGGCTTCATTCATTCAGCCCACAGAAAAAAAAAAAACTCTAAAAGAGACAGTAAGGTGCTTTGCATTTTCTATTTGGATAGCAATCCCTTTCATTAACACATCATGCGTTAACAATTAATAAACAGTGAAAGCTTAAACACTGAAAACGTTTCTTCTTCCAGGTGGTGAACTCCTTTATAACGTAACTCTTGAGTACAGCGACTACGCGACTTGCACTATTGCGCAGCACGATGAAGCAAGTAAAAGCAAGTATTACATTTTCATTGCTTAACACAGAACCTGTTACATATGACTGGCACTTAATCGTTTCAGTTTCGCACTCGGTTACGGAAGCAGACAAGGCGAGTGGCAGGCGAAGGCTGACGCAGTGCTCGTCGTTTCACTAATTCGACACGAGTGCCAGACGAACGTTTTGACCCAGTAGATCAGCGTCACTCCCTCGAATCACATCACGTAACCAAAAGTACGCTAGGACGAGCTGTTACTCCTAGTACAAGCTAAACGAGCGAGCTCCGAGCTTTCAACGTTTCTGCCGAACGCGCGCACTCCTTCTTGCTTTCTTTTTGTCTGCGCTTCAGAGGACTTCTTGGATTGAACCGTTCAGGACAAAGCCGCAGCACGGCCCGGCTTCTTACTTTTCCCTATTTCAGTATATCTTGTTCCTGGAGTCTTGTTCTAGGATTAATGTAGTCACCACCAAGCTTAATCGTTCAAATCGTCCTTTAAGAAAATCACATTTTACAAAACACTGCAGGGACGTTTTTCATAAAATGTCATGCGCAGGATCAGCCCTGTGCTTCTGTTTTATACCAAAATGGTCCAGAATACGAAATAACAACAGGCAGTCGGCGCAATAGTTGAAGTGGGAAACTAACATAAATATCAAGAGTCGTATAAGCACGCCACTGCAACACGCTCGAAAGAGTGGATGTAAACCCTAAATGAAAACATTTCGTCCGCAATATATAGCGAAACAATTTGCTGAGAAAGATGCAAATCAGCCCAAGCTGTCCTTAAAGATATTCAGCGCAGTGTAATGTTCGAAACAAAAAAAAAAAACAAAAAAAAACCCAGGCTCAGAACAACTGCTAAACCCTAAATGTTTAAAAGTTACTATATTTCTTCTACTTAAACGTTTATGAATCCTAGTTAGCCGGTCATAAATAAGTATATATTGCATGCCTCGCGCCTTTTTGTTAGCAATATCTGAATAAACTCCCCGAAGACGGGCGAGGGTGGGGTGAGACAAGACCGCAAGAGGCGTCTTCAGATAAATGCAACCGATGACAAAACAACGAATAGCATAGAGGCGGCGAGATAGCTTTGACAACAATACAGACCCAAAGATTGCTTGACGCCAGCGCTGCAAATATATCGAAACAATACTCTCACTATAGTCACTGGCTGTCTAATAAACTCTGGGCGTGGCGAGTTTTCTGCATTTCATTATCGCTTCTCAGCCAATGAGGTTATGGCATTCGCCGATGAGGTCGTTGATTAAACAATCACGAAGCAACGGGGCGGGAACGTACTGAGCTACACCCCGCGCGCTTCTGAAGCCACCAGTGAGTGTTGTGCTATATTAAAAATTGTGCATATTAAAAGACACCGTTTTTTGCAAAAATAATTTCGATGTTGCAGTTGCCAATGATGGTGTGTAATATGCTTATTGTGGTAGTGTTATAGTAAACAAAAAAATGTTTTTTTCTTTTTGCAAATTTGTAAGTGACTACGTTTTTTTTTTTTTTTGCAGCTTGCTCAATGCTCGTATATCAAGGTCCAAACCAAGATGCAATTGAGGCGTGTCATGCCCGTTTTGTGAAGTATTGTGGAAAATTTTATTATAAAGTGTACTTCGATTTTTGTAACAAGATTCGCAAGTTTGAATAAAACCACATGTACTTTATTTAAAATAAATTTACAACTTTTTAATATTGTGTCCGAATAAAAATATATAAAAAATAAAGATACATACAAAGACTGTAATCATGATGTCGTTTTTTACTGAAAGTAAACTCTTGACAGTAGAGCACTGCTTTTGTGATTCAAATGGTAGCTGAATATGTTTGTTACGAGGTTATCGCAATTTGAAGACACATGGTTGCTAATATAAAATTAAAAGTATTTGAAATGCTGCAAACTTTTAAAACGTCTTGAAATGTTGATATGTCTTAATTGACCTTCAAGCCTTTCATACTATCCACAGTTGTTGGTCACGTGTTAGTGAGTGTGATAACGTGGCCTCGAATCTGCGATGTCATGTCACGTCGTCTGCAGAGACCTGATAAGAGCTACTATAAATCTGTGTTTCCCAGGAATAAAGATTATTCATCGTTTGGCTTCCAATCTACGAGTCACTGCAAGCGAGTAGCTTTTTCGTAACACATCTGTTTGTGTTGTTGTGCTCGAAGGATTTTTACAAACATAATGTGCTCTAATGTGCAATCTATCGATAAGTAGGCCACAAGAGTCGTTCTTGTATTTTTATATGCTAATATTTGCTTTCTTGTGTCAAAAGTTACAAGCGCTACAATCTTTTTGATAATTTATTTATAAAATGTTTATTGATTTACCTGTATCTATAAATAATGCCTGGGTCATGTATAACTATGCACAACACTCCATCTAGACATTCTTTTATATATGCTGTGTAATATAGGCATAGTGAATAAAACTGACGTTCTCCTTTGAAACACAATTAATTGAACAGTAGGCGTGCATTATTCAGTGATTGTGTAGATGGTTTTGTCCGGAATTTTAACCTTGTGGCCAGCTGTTTCAGCTGCCTGGGGCGGAGTAGAGGAGAGGTGGTGAAAGCACAAATAGCACACCGTCGAAATATGGACAAGGTGTCCGTCACGGGTACATCAGTCTTTTACTCAGTATTGTAGACAGAACTCGTATTACTTTGTTTGCGGATAGTTTCTTGTGATCTTAATCACTGTTTGATTAGGTATTCTGGGAACAAATCGGTTGTTGCGCTAGCGTTATGTTACAATTACTCAAAATGTTATTTTGCTTCTCCTGTGGCGTACTGTTTGGTATCTCCAATCTGTCATAGGCAGACATATAAACGTGTTTAAAACTGACATAATAGTGAATTCAAGCAATCTTTATACTGAACGTTTTTCTTCAATAAAACCCTCCCTGAAATTTTTCAACAGGTTTCTTTTTTCCTTGAATTGTTTTTACTGTTAAACACGTTTGATCCTGCAAAAATAAGTCGATACGTTTCTTTCTAGCGATCTGATGTGCTAAAAACAGATGTCATGCTAAGTGTTTTCTGGCGTCATTAACCAAAGGAGAAGCTTCCCAGGGATAGAGATAACATTCTTGATATAAAGACTTTGCCATTTTGAGGAGCCTCTTTTAAGTGAAAAATCCGTGTGAAAGAAAGACTTATTGCGCATCTGTTTTTGTCCATGACAACTGGTGTGCGTATAGTGCAAGTCTAATTCGTTTATAAAATAAGACCACTGAATATCTAGACCTTTATTGCTTGGGGGCATTGAAGGAATGTATATATTTTTATTTGAAACGAAAGTTTGGAAAACCCTCATAAGATATTTTAGTGAAAAAAAGCGAGCTCACCGAAAGAGGCGCTTCTTCTTTGGGCACAAGAATTACTCTAATTATAATTCTATCATCATTCCGTTGAGGGAACTTGTACGTCTGTCTTTTGAGCCAAGCTCCCGAAACGCACGTCCACAGAGTCTTTTATAAGTTTTCACAGCTCTTTGGCCAAAACTCTGTATTTTTTTTTGTCTGGCTATTTAGGGCCTTTTGAGGCCCCTTGAATCGCAGGTCCTAACTTGAGACATGTGCCTAGGGGCGTGCTATTTTGAACCAAAATTTCCAATCAAGTGCCACTTCACTGGTTGCTTTTATCAGTGGAACTTTTATGAGTTCTTGAGGAAATGACAGGATGAGTTATCTGGTTATTCGGTATTTACCTGGAAAGCTTTTGGCCTAAATCCCCAAAAGAAGTGCCAGAATGAGGCTGCTCTGCGGGTTGTTTGGCGGATAGGTGGCATTTTTGGCACATCTCAGCGAATAACCACAAAAATGAGCCATAGAAAAGCCAAAGAAACGTACTTTGGCACAAACCAGCTGACGCTTTGGAGCAAAGGCTCACTAAGCACAAATTAGGTCCGACCGGCCGTTGTGTCATACGCAGGGATTTCGGCCGCCTTGCGCGTGTCACTCATTTGGACAGCGCGTGCGATTGCAGGCTTGCCAGATATATTCCCTCACACTGACACCGATCGTGAAGTCTTTTTTCGACATTTTTGAATACAGCGAGAGTGCGCGTACATAGCTTTGGTAGGCGCTGAAGATGCCCGAGAGCGGAGATTACAAAAACTCTGGATATGACGTCACGCTCCGGGAAGGAAGGGCTTGGACGGTACTTTAAACAAATATTTTCTGCAGCCGATGTCCATGAAATTGAAAAATAATCTCAATATCCGTGATTCTGGAGGACTAAGGAACACTAGTCAGTGTTTTTTTTTTCTTTTTCTCAAATGCAAAATCACTTCAGCTTCTTTTCAAAGAGATACTACGACGAAATTTTGGCGCTTATTTTTTGGTCTATATGTGTTCAAATGAGCAGTATCATATCCGACAAAGCAATATCGTGTTAACAAAGACACGAAAAGAAATTTTAAAACATTATAAACGATTAGCAAAAAGCACTTGGTGGATATCGCTAACGTCTTGTTTGTAGTGACCGTCTAGGAACCTTGGCAGATAGTGAGGACGTTTGCCTCGCCTCAGGCCACCACGAGAGACGAGGTGGAAGGAGGAACTTCCCTCTCCCCGAGAATCTATTTTGTGAGTCCCAGAAGTCGCTTTTGTCCCTCTACAAGATTATCGAAGATTATGCGAAAACTTTAAATCCGTGCAAAAGCAGCCGCTTCGGTGGCTAGAATGACTAGGCCATCCTCTCGACGTGAGCCTCGTCCGTGGCCTCGCCGCAGCTTTGCTCGTACCGAGAGGAGCTACGTCACGATTGCGTTGGATATCACGTGCTGGCTGCTCTTTGAGCGCTTGGCAGCCTATTTTTGAACCCGACGGGTATATTTCAAATTTCCTTGAAGTATCCCTTTAAGGTAGCTCGAAAATTTGCCCGAGTGCCCCAAAATACTGGTGGTCATCAATTTTTTTGAAACTTTCACCGTGCACCAAATATTTACGCATGAGTATGTCAACAATTTCTCTTATAAAATATTAAATTCCTTTCTAGAAAACAAATATCAAAGTTTACGCGTACCCCTTCGGATAACTGGCCGCCGCTCTACTGGTATCACCGATAAGTCCCGGCGATACATCGATCGTGAAGTCGAATACTGTATCCGAGCACAAAGGCGCCTCCTCTACGACGTTCTGCGCATGGATGTACCGGGGTTGCAATCCAGAATGCCATTCTTCTTTTATCTATTTCAACCCTCGTTAGGCCACACCAAGACTGTGTAGATATAGCTGCAGTGGAGTGGCGAATTTATAGTTGTTCTAGTGCAAAGCTTTAAATTACATATACTCACTAGTAGGTCCTCCACAAAAACGTATTTGAAGTAAGTTCAAAATGCTTTCGAACTGCCGTCAATTAATAAAATACCCATTCGCGGTTCCGCGAAATTTTTAACTCTGGCGCCGTATTCTTTTAATTACATCTTCATTTGGGGGAGTGCAAAAACATATTTTCCGGGCTGTGAATATATAAATGGACGTGGCTGACAATTGACGCCTTCACATCGTTGCTTTCTCCTGTGCATTTCTTACAACGACGTTATTATATTGGTTGCTTGTGTTGTTAGCTTATTTTCGGATGATTTTCAACTTACTTTGTTTTGCACAGCAAAACTATGAGATCGAAATCTCCGGGTTGTATAAAAGCAGTTTAGGATGCACCAATTTGCAGTTTATTTCAAGCCGAAAAGCTATGCGTGCGTAAGGCGGATTTCTAAACGATTGTTTCAAGACCTCTTTCGGTGGTCTATAGTAAGTGTAGCAACCTCAGACGCCATGTACCGTTGTACATTCAATACCAAGAGATTTCTAGCAACTTAGGTTGTATGCTTTCGATTTGTGGGGGCGGACCGAGCCTCCAGCCATTAAGGTGTAGTGAGGTACATATAGGTATCAAGTTCTCATGGTGAAACTTCAAGAGAATCCCTTTTCGCAACCCTCAACAGCCGAGTTTCAGTCAAACGTTGAGGGTATATTTTTTTTTCGCCAAGTATAAAGTATCTAGTCATACAATGACAGTAACAGGTGATACTCGGCACCTTTTATTCAACAGTGACAAGTGTCTTAGTACGTGATACCACTCACGACGATGTATTGCACGTGGTTTAGAATATTTGTTCTATGTTTTGTTTCTGTTTTCTATGAAGATTCTGTGCTCACCGTCCTAGTTTTTGTGATTAGGGGAAAACAAAGCAAAGCAGGTACATTCATTTCTATGGTGTTTTTTTGTTACGTTTTAGTGCAGACGTGCCGATTCCGTACGGTTCCATGTTCAGGTTTGCATGTCTCCATCTGAAGCACCCTTCGATAAAGTGGTTTTCAAAAGTGCAGTGTGTTATGTGTACTGTAGTTGGAATACCTTTATAATTAGAGGCAAATAAAGAGAATATAACCCTTGTTGATTTAAGCTGTCATGAACCAATTAATATTTCGTTCTAAATGAAAAAACGAATGTGTGTCATATTTCTTCAAAGATAATTTGCTGACATAAAATAATTGATCAATTATATATACAAGTATATAATGCATTCTAACTGTAGCAAACCTCTTGGGTGTCATGTACTTTGAAAATAATATGTTTAAAAAGAAGAAAGCACTCGCTTGAACTCAAGCTAAGCGGCACTGTAGTTGCATGGATCCAACTTTAAATAAAATAGCACCGTGGTATAAATAAGTTTCACCCGCGTATGTTTTAGAACCAGTTCCGTTGGTCTAAGAGACTTCGTTGTTTCGAATGTACTATCGTATTGTGCGTATAGTCCGGGGACTATACGTATTTCAAAGTTTTAATTCTATCAGGTGCGGACAATCTACAGGTGCGAACTATATAAAAGGTTTTATATTTTTCTAGAGCGTTCACTTTGAGAAGACGTGAAGAATTTTATGAATAACAGAGTAAAATATTGTTGATGTATGTATGATACAAGCTCCTTTGTCAGCTAATACAACAGGTATTTGTCAAGATGTGCGTGTATAATAAGTTTTACTTTCGAATTAGGCACAAAGTGTGGACTACACGCCAGTGCAGACTATGGTTCGGAAGATATGGTATGTTCTGATGCATTAAATCTCCTGTGAGCTTGCGCATAACCTCCAATACTAAAGCAGAATTTGGTGCAACAAAGACCGGTCAAAACCGATCAATTAATTAAGCAAACACCAATCATTCACTCAGCTTTAAAGAAAGATGTATTAATAATACAAAACTCGAAATCTCAGGTAGTTGCGAATGTCTCAAATTTAATCAATCTTAAAGGACAATTAGACATTAGGCATGCCTATATATGTAAGATGTGAATGTTTATTGTGCACTTTTACAATGCACGCGTGCTCTTTTAAACTAAACTTAATCTTTACTTTCATCGTTTCTGTAAAGTACCACCACCTCCCCATTCTCCAAGATCAAGTTTCTCTGAATTCCGCTGTGTAGGTGAATCCTTCCGGAACAATGATGCACATAACCGTTACCTCCTGAAAGTATAGGAAGCATAATTATAAGCTGCACTGTTGGACACATATTTTTGCGTACCTTGATCATTGATTGATTAAAGCGGTGATATATCTTCGGGGGCAAGACAATGTGGTCTCCTGCGCTCACTTCAATCCGAACCCACCGGTCTTGAGAATCACGAACGTCGAAGTAGCAAGCACCCTGTTTGATGTAGCGGACTTCCATATCCGGATGTCTGTGCTCCCCACCCATAGCTTGAAGCTGTTTTTAATAACAAAGAGATGTTTGAAACTAATTACAGAGACCTCCACCAAGTCCGTTGGTCACAACTTGGAATAAATTTACCACAGTGATGACAATCCGAGACTGGAGTCGAAAAAAAAATGTTTACCCTGGTTGTTTTTGTTATTTTGTGTGCTGTGAGCGTGGGTTTCTGTGCGTTTTCCTGGAAACAGGTTGACCTGTGGTTTGGGTGGGCTGTGGTTCTTTGTATATAAAAATGCATTAGCTGAGTTCGAGACGTTGTCTGCCCTATTCATTTTTATGCCCCAGCTTGAGTAATATCACAGCGGTAAAATTCAAGCAGCTCGCCTGCACTTTAATTTAATTTATGTGATGAATATTTTTAGTGTCGTTTCAAAAGTTCTTCTTGCCTGTCTATGCATTAAAATAAAACTCGAACTTTAAGCTTGTGTTCTATTTTATCGCATCCTGGTGGTTCTTTAGATGTACGCAGACAATTAAATTTAAGGAACATCCATTGGTGGATCGTTAGAGTACGCTAAGGTGATTCTTGGGAAACGCTACACATGTCGCACTTTGCGAAACGTTAACCATGACCATTTCACTTTTTTCTTTCGGCTTTCTCTTTCGCCTCCTCTATTCCTTGCTTCCTCTTTCTGGCTTCGTTACGGGGTCAGTGTTAGCGTTTCCCTATGTGGGACGTGTGTGGCGTTTCCCAATTGTCATGCTAACACATTTCCTAATGATCCAGCGATAGATCTACCTTTATTTTTTTTTTGCCGCGTACTTCGTGCAGTTTTGGTACTTGGTTTACACTTCATTTTGAAGCACGAACCAAGTCATACCCGCACCGCGCACCTGCAAGTTCGGACTTGACCAGCATCTGCGAGCTCATTGGCTACCGCCCCGTGACGTCACCTGCCTCTCGCATCTGTCCTTCAACGTGGCGCTTCGTCTTCCACTGTTTTTTCCACAGGCGGACGCCGTCAGCTTTTCCCTGTCATGTAGGAACTAATACTAACACGTTATAAAAAACGCCTAATTCTTTACACACGTTCCGCTAACCAGAACCTCCCGGTGCCATTTACAGGTACGAAGTTTCATATCTACTCTTCGTTGCACAGCACTTTTCAAGCGCATAATCTGTGTTCAGACTGGCAATGGGCTTGGTTATATGCCCACCGTACCACACTTTTAAAAAAACGGTATAGTTCAGAATATCATACAAGTGCTTTACCAACCTCCTAGAAACGGGACAAAATGAACAAATAAAAAAAATGTACACCATATATCTGACAGCGTAATGACAGGTGCTTAAGCTCGGTTTTTACAATCTTGGTAATTATTGCGGGGTTAACGTGATTTTCTTGGGTTAAATTGTCCTTCGCTATATTATAATGAACTCAAAGCATTTAAAAAGGAGTCGCATCACTTGCCGTCTTCTTATCCATGCTGATATTCGGGTCCATTATCTCGTCCCTTTTTTTGTACCAGCCCAGTTGTTGCATTAGCGACTGAAGCTCTCTTTCCCCGTCCTCTGTGCTGGAAGCCTTCAGAAAGAAGAGGTGGGAATTGAGAGAACGAAACATCCCGTTATGTTCACTCCGTTGCAGCCGACTGCGAACGAGTCCGATAGAACCGTTTTTTAAGCCTCGTACGACTGCAATCAACGCGCAGCTGCAATGGCGGTCTTAAGCGGCTTAAAACTCTGTATTTTTAAGTCGGTTGTAGTGGGTTGCAACAGCGTAAACCGGCCTTTACCCGTATAAAATTTTTTTTCAAACCTGCATATTTTACAACATAAACAACTAACGTTTTATCATAAACAGTCTCGAGGTCCTCAAAATGCTAAAGATCTGGTATACATCACCTGGACACTAAATAAATTCCTGGATGGCGAAGTAAGAGAGATCACCTCAGATTACTTGAAACAAGTTGCCGATAAGTTCTTAGTGATTTTATAAAATTAAAACGGCTTAAGTCAAATAAAAAAAGTTTAAAATGTTCATATAACTTTCGTTTTCATTCGTCAAAACGATAACTTGCTCATTAATGATCAAACAAGAAACTACCATAACGTACAATTTGTCTAAATAGTTAAAGGGCAATATGTTCGTAAATTTGACTTACGTTGTACGTCTTTACGTTCAATATTTCGTCCAAGTCCTGGCTCGTCAGCGTGTTGGAGCTCTCATCCAAGTACCAAGCCCTCATCTTACAACCTCGAGGAATCCAAGTCTTCCAAATTCCGAAAGCATACACAAAATCTAGTTTAAAAACGTCGTTGCACAGTTTGTGATAGAAGTCAGCCAAAAGCGGGTGGCAACGGCTGACTGGCTTCAAAACGGATATGGAAAGAGTGATCCAGCCTCTATAATTACAAAACAGAAAAAAAAACTGCGCCACAAAAAATAACTATAAAAGAAACATCGCAAAAGCGCCGACGAGGTCAAAGCAGGTTGCACATTAAACGGTAGATGTATATCTTTTTTTGTTGCGAAAAGTTGACACGCGCGCATTAAGTGCGCGCTCGCTGTCCTCCCATAAATTCAGAAAAAAAAAACGACAAAAGCCCACAAAAAGCGGATACATTACATGGTGGCTCATTACACCTGCAGTACGGTTCAGAATTATCAGGATGAAGTGCACAATGTTGAATGACAAAGTAACTTGCTAGGGCAGTTTTAAAGGATGGAGTTTAAGAATTTGATTAAGGCACTGTTTGGCAGGGTTTGTAGTCTGCACTGACAGTTATAGTGTTATATAGTTTTTAAGGTAACCACTGAGAGCCGTAAAAAATTCTAAACATAAATAGAATTTCTGTGGTTATCCAAAACAAATGTAGTATTATAAACTCACGGGTCGATTAGGGTTAAAAAAATTAGAAACACCGACATGAAAAGATCCAGATTATCTAAAAATCCGACAAATCCTAAAATTTAATAAAGTGTAGTTCTCATAGCTGCCATTTGTACTGTGATGGACACGAACTTCAAACGCACTCTTAAATGATGACCGTGGCATACACACTCCGTTGGACGCGACCAGCGTGCCGCCCCGCGGCCGTTCCTTGAGGTAGCCGGTGAAAAACCTAACGAAGCGAAACTACGCCGTGTACACTGGGACAATGGTTGTACCCCAATGCGCCTTCTATTTCTAAGAGTGTGGTTTTACAGATGTAGATGGAGCAGGTGTTGAGCTCTCCTAATATGCGATATAGCGCTTGCCTGGTTTGTCAAATTGTTGGCGTGCAATTCTCTCGCAGAAGAGGTAGCGAAAACGTCTTCATTCGTTATATTTTTTCTAAAGAAAATCTAAAACAAAATGGCACGTTCCTTCAGGTAAGATGAGATGTGGGGTACCTTTATCTATATTCCGAGCATTCTCCGTGGTGCTTCGGTAATTTGTCAAAAATGTATTGCCTGAATCTTCGACCTTTCTTCTATAGCTTAAGTGCCAGCTTCTGATAGAAGGATAACGAATATTTTGGCGATTTCATAAAACTATCGAGACGCGGCTTGAGCGTAAAAAGTTGCAAAAATGGTTTGCTCAAAATCTCCATATCTTCTTTTTTTCTACTTTCTCAGAGTTCAGCAGGTGGAACAAGGTCATACTTTGTCCAGCTACAGGTTATTATCAACTTCAGATAAAACGAACGCTCCTGTTTTCACGCTGTTAGACGCGAGAAAGGCTGGTGAGAGCGTACCCGACTGCCGGCCGCTCGCCTTTGTGCCTGCCGATGACCGTCGCGTTTGGATGGCGGGGAAAACGGGGGGAAATGTGGAGGGAACGATGTTTCCGTTTCGGCAGCGAACAAGATAACACTATTTTAGGTAACTAGAGTGAGTCTGGGGTACGGGATATCATTTAATATCAGGAAGCCATCCGCATTCGTATGACGTCTTTGTATTAGGTAGCTAAAAAATCGGCAGAGTCCCCCTTCAAGGAATACGATTAATCTTTATGAAATTTAATCACCAGGCAGATTTTCAGGTTGGGCACACCTTTGTTCCACTGGTTAAACTATTTGTACAAATCTTTATTGAGATCCTTGACGTTACGCTGTAGATAAACTGCCCCCAGTCCGGACTCAGGGAAAGCCTATATGGCGCAAAATATGAGTGATACAGATATAAGGAGTAACTCCTAAACCCCTAAACTAAGCTTACATTCGTCACTTTCTAACAACTATGTGTTTCTTCTTAAAACATGAGGAATAACATGATGACACTGTAATGTCTGAAATAGTTTTCACCAATTAGGACAAAAACACGCATTTTTGTCAACAAGTTTGAGCCTGCTATGGTACGCTTATGATGTCCGTTATTTTTGTAAAGTTGTACGTAATGACGTCAGTTACCTTTACGTGAGCTGTAGGCGCAGGTCGGTTCAAGACAATCAAAACGACAACCCATTGCGCTCTTGAACTGTGTAAGTATTCCAGGACGTTATGTCAAACTAAACTCGAGAAATGAAATTAGGAACGTTGACCAATCTTTTCAATTCTAAAGCAGGCCTCAAGTAACAAGACGATGGCATTCACATTTCATTACGGTAAGTAAGGATTGCACTAAATAGCCAATTTATGCTTGTTCAAAAAGAAAAGAGCTTAAGCCTGTTGACTGCTACTTATGCTTTCTGGCTGGCTTAACGGGATTAGGACGCGAACGTTATGCGGGTATAATAAGTTTGAAATTAAATGACCATAGGCTGGTTGAGATACAGCAAGTTTAGCGATTTTTAGAGCTCTAGTAACTGCAATAATTTATTTATAAATTTGATAATTTCAATTTGGCCACCAGGCAACACTGACGAAGTTAGTTACATCATGGTGCCCATAAATCTCGTGGTCATGAACGCCCAAGCTTTCCACGCCATGGTACGATTAGAAACGCTCACGCAAATCGGCTACTCCTAGACTATGCTTCTTTTCACCCACGGAACTTTGACCTTTCACCCTGCAAGCACCAGCGAGATTGTCACAGACGGCGGCGACAACGGCGAGCTCGTCTGTGACTCTTCGTCGCTGGAGCTGATCGCCAGTGGGTCGCAGTCACAATGACCAGCTTCAAACATCTCTTGATAACACTTACTCTCATCTCTGCTGCGGTTAGTCTCAAAGACTTCGAAAAAGCGACCGATGCCGTTAACGTAATCGTCAGGAACGGCATGCTAGAAAATCGGAAGGTACACGAGCAACCTGATGCTTGAGACGCTGGGAAAGTCAAGACTCTGAGTACGTACAAGGGGACGACGCGCATTGGAAAGGCGACGTCGGCAACCCAACAACCACGGCAGCCTTTTCGAGCGGGGCCAATCCGAAGGTCCCGCGTATATATTGAGGTATCCACGAAACATATTTCGCAGAAATATTGGAATATACAATGTGTCCCAATAGTTAAGTTGTCTTCTGTTTTATTTCTTACGTGTACTGACCTCTTGAAACGTTACCTACGACAGAGAGAATTGGTTACCTACAGTGTACTTCTACAACTGGCATCTTGAAGCTTCTAAAATATTTGAATTAGCCGATGTTTTCAAGCATTTTGAATAGACTCGTTCAGAGATAACTTTGAAATGTCAACTTAAATAAAACAAAGTTAAGCGCGTTTTCGAGAAAACAAGTGTGTACCGCTCTTGCATTAAGTTTGAGAAAGAACTTAATCGATCATATTTATTGGTGTTTTGAATATGGAACTAGATGTTTCTGGATACGTGGCACATTTGAACGAGGTTGGAATACAAAAATGAATCCCAGTATACCGCATTTCCACAGTTCGTAATTTACTTCGATCCTACCAAGTATCTCTTGTACATTGCGTCTGGCCGCTTCTATATAATGTGCACTTCTACAGGTATAGGTATCATAGACTTCTCAGCCACATTTGCGGCGGCGTTGTGCTAGTCCGAAGTTTCTAGTTCGCCCTTTCAATGGAAAAATGCTGAGTGTATCCGCGTGTGTGGCAGTTCTCATGTAACCAGACCAGTTCACCCCTTGACCGAGAGATGACTGGTGCGCCCACGGCCGGAGTCTCTGCGTATCGCAGGCATTAAAACCGGACGATTGAGTCACCCCTATATTGATTTTACGGTTAGGTAATGAAACGGCTGAAGATATCGTTTATTCTTCCTATCAAGTAAAAGCAGCTTTTCATTTTTTTTTGTGCGCCGATAGAGTCACTTTGTGAATGATTGTAAACATAGTATGTTATTTGAATCGATTTCGATAAAAATATTATGCATTTATAAAACTTAGGATGCCTAACTGTACTGTGTTACCCTATAATCTATAATAAAACCAGAATTTCGCTGATATGTTGAAGGATAATTTATCATGTTCTTTATGTTTATACTTTGATATGAATGTTTCACAAACAGGATCACGAAAACTCGGCAGCCACTCACAGAAGTGAAAGGACTTGCCTATGTCATTAAATCATTATTATAAGTGTAGTTGTTATACCAACCAATTCTAAGCTCCATGCAGCACAGGTTTAAAAGTGCTCTAGCAGGTTAGGCAATTTTAATGAGCGCACAAGGCAGGACCATGTTATGCAATCACGTGAATCATGTTTTGATGTGGTGAAACCTGTACTCATCGGAAACAAATAAAATAAAGCAGCTCTGGACATTTATTTTGTGTGTTTGAAGGAACCGTTACCATACTAATATTCCCTGTATTGATGCACAGCCAGCTTGCCATTGGGTGTCCGCTTAGGCTTTTCTGAATTGAGTAATATTAGTGTAGCCTTCAGGAACAATATGAAGGATAATGGTCACCTCCTGAAATAGACGGGAAACTTAATTATACTCGCATTCAAATTGGAAAGCTACAGAAATACGCGTTTTGTTACAAATTTGGGACATCTATTTGTAAAAGTACCGGTTTACCCCACTCGTCAGGCAAAACACTGGGCGCGGAGGACAAATTACGGCTCTCAGATGATTAGATATACGCTGCCTGAATTGCTGAACCAGTTTTTAGCTAGTGAGTTGGATCTGATAAGGATGTCATTTAAGCAACTTAGAGAATATTTTGTAAGCCTAGATAGGTAAAATTCCAGTGATCTGGCGGTTTGTTTGATATTTCCAGGATTATTCAATCTTTTTTTTTATTTGTGTGTTGTGTGCGTATATTATCTACCCGTGTCGTACTTTACCATGAAATAGCATTTTTTCCAGTATCTCTGCTGTTGTGCCTACGTGGGGCCTTGTCAAGGAGTATTTCACAGCTTTTTCCCTCGAGCTCCACCATCAATGTAGATGGAAATAAAGGAATTATTACACGTGGAAAAGTTTGGTATTGCTGTACCTTTATCGAAGAAGGATTAAATCTGTGATATAAGTTCGAAGGCAGGACGAAGTGGTCTCCAGGCACCAGTTCCATGCGAATCCACATGTCTTGGGAGTCCCGCACGTCAAATGTACAAGTGCCCTGCTTGATGTAATGCACCTCCTGATAGGCATGTTTATGTTCGTGTCCTAAAGCCTCCAGCTTTATGCGAAAAGAAAAGATAATGCTCATTACTTGTGAAGAATTTTGTTGGAAATGTACAACTCTCCGAATTGCACGACTTCCATGGAAACGAGCTCTGAACTTGTAAATTATATAAGGATATCCCAAGAGCAGCCTAACCCTGGTTACAACATACACTTCAAGAACATTATTTACCTACAGCTGTAGTACTATTTTGCATTTAATGAATGCTTAAAAACAGCAAGGCGTGACTTATGAAGTTATGATGTTCACGCCTCTTGCTTTGATTTGTTCTTCAGCTTGCTCAACATGCTGCAATCTCAGTGGCTGCAGAGGGTTAATTAGATTATTTGAAATCGCCTCGCCCCGCGTTTCTGGGACTGTGACAATAAAGGATGAATTAGTCTTATACCAGCTAAGTTTAACGAAATTTATTTCGGGATAAAGAAAATAGGTGTTCATAAAAAAAAATAGGTTGTTACTGTCGAAATCACGTTCGGTTAGCTTATACTGAATAGAAATCGCACAGGAGTGCCGGTGAGGAAGTATTTAAAATCCGAAAGTTATAGAATACTGAAGATCCTGTGGCTGGAATATTTTTATGTCAGATACCTTCACGTCCCCACCTCTAAATATCAGGCACGTAAAGACGTTTAATTATGGGCTTCTCTTCCTGCCCCCTGATATCCTTTTTTTTACGTGACACGCAGATAGAAAAGAAATTAAAAAGAACCTTCTTACCGGTATTCCCTCATTGCTTCCATTAGGGTCCTTTACATATTCCAGTACAGTACGCCAGCCTGTCTCTTCCATTAACGCGTTGAGCTCCCTCTCTCCGTCTTCTATTCCGGAGGCCTTAGCAACAAAACGCGTGGGCATGTAAGCATTACTTATTGTTCTGGTACAAGGAAAATGACAGTAAAATATATGCAGCTTTCGGGGCGCGTCTTTTGCATAGATAACTGTCTTTAGAGGGATGGGGTTTTCTGCATAGGGAACAGCACAGGTGAGAATGATCATACAATCTTCGAGTTGCAGGAAAACGGATTATAATTACACAGCTATATCAATATTTATTACTTATTAATTTCATTTTGGGAATGTTTTTTTTATCTTTAAAATATATATATATATATATATATATATATATATATATATATATATATATATATATATATATATATATATATATATATATATATATAGAAAATATAGCGTAGGATGCCGAAGACTATAAAGTAATAAAGTCGCACTTCGAAACGTTGTTGGAGTTTTAAAGCATTTAGTGAGTCGACGTTTCGGCCTGAGACAGGCCTTCTTCAAGACTGGTTGCCAGAGTCGGTTACAGGGTTGTTTTCGCTTTCCCCACCCGGGCCACGTCACCTGTCAGATCACGTGTAAAAATGCCCAAGTAAAAGAGCCCAAGTGAAAATACGCTGCTGTACTCCCCCCACTCCACGCACGGCCGCAGCAGACGCCGCCAGCCATCGGAGCAAACCAAAGGCCACGTCAGACTTTGTGACCCCAGGAACGTCACGTGCGGAAGGCGCAGTAACGTTCACATAGATGGATCGGCCCAGATGGCCAGCAACGCACGCCGCGGAAGAACGCAAAGTCAAACAAAGCAAAAAAAAAAAAAAAAAAGGGGGGGGGGGGAGGAATGTAATAAGCGCACACAGTAAATAACGCCAAAACACATAGAAAATACCCATACATAGAGAAAGAATAGGTGAATAAGCACACAGAGTAAATCAATGCCAAAGCCCATAAACAAATCCTCTGCATTCAAAAAAAAAAAAAAAGCGCACCCATTAAAGTAGGCAAACGCTCGGCCGAAAAGCATAAACAAGTCTGCAAAAAAAAAAACAAAAAAAAAAAAATCCTAAATATAACAGTGTTAACCACAGTCCCAGAAAGGTACACGAAAAAATTACAGAAAGGTACACGAAAAAATTAAAGGGTTGAACGAATGCGATTGAATTAGCTACAGTCACTCCGCTACAGGGGGATCAAGGTAGATTGCATGCATAGATGACATTATACCTGGATCTTCATTAATACCGGCCCGGATTGAATTAAATTTGTAAATAAGATACGATTCTCTCTGCTCGCGATCACGGTTGCTTTTGAAATTGGATTGTAAAAATGTAACGTCCAGTTTGTCAAACGTGTGTTTGGGTAAAGCCATATGTTTTGAAAGGGGGACTTTGGGAAATGAATTTACATGCGCCCTGTGGTTGTTAAACCTCAATCGGAAAGGTGTGCTGGTTTGGCCCACGTACTGCTTACCGCAGGTGCCACATGTGAGGAGGTATATCACATTACTTGTGCTGCAGTTTAAGTTTCCGTGGATTATGTAGGTGAAATTGGAATTCGTACTCTCTACCGTGGTTTTAGGTGTCACGTGTTGACAGACATCGCAATTTGTTCTTCCACAAGGACGACTGCCAGTGCTTTCAGTGTAGGTTGTCTTAGACCTAACTATGGCGTCCCTAAGATTGCGTGAGCGTCTGTAGACCACTCTGGGAACGGAGGGGATAATTCTTGCGAGGCGTTCACTTTGTTGTAAAATGTTAAAATGTTTTCTTAATATGGGTGCGACATTCGGAGTCTTATTGTTGAAAGTTAGTACGAGGTTCGCCCGACGCTCCTCTGTCTGAGGGCTCCGCTCACTCAACAAGAGGCCACGATCAAGGACCTGTGCCTTATTGATCGCATCGTCTATGATTTTTTCCGGGTACTTCTGTTCTTTCAGGACTTGGCGTAATTGATCGGTGTTTATTTTAAAATCGTCGTTGTTGGAACATATACGTTTAAACCTATGAGCCTGACTATAAGGTATGCTATTTTTACAGTGCCGTGGGTGGCAGCTGTCGTAGTGCAAGTATTTCTGACGGTCCGTAGGTTTTCGGTACAGTTGAGTGGCCAATTTAGAGTCATTAATTAGCACTCTTGTGTCTAGAAAGGTAATTTCCGATTTTGAGTAACTATGTGTAAAAGAAATGGAGGGGTGCGCATAATTAAAAGCTCTAATGAACTCGAGAAGCTCTTCTTCCGAATGCGACAAGATAAGAAATATATCGTCAATGTATCTTTTATAGAAAAGTGGTTTAAGTGAACGCGATGCCAAAAAGTTGGATTCTAAATTTCCCATAAATATATTAGCGTAGTTAGGTGCCATCTTCGTTCCCATTGCAGTGCCGCTGGTTTGAAGGAAGAAACTTCCATTGAATTCAAAGCTATTTAACTCAAGCACCAGTTTCGAGAGAGTAGCCACGACATGCTTATCTGCTAAATCGTCACTCCTGTGAGCGTCGTACGCATTAACAAGGGCCTCTATGCCATCACTGTGGGGGATGTTCGTATATAAAGACGACACGTCCATCGTAACGAAAAAAGCATCTCTAGGGATATTAATTTTAGAAATTTCTCTAAGGAAGTGGTTCGTGTCCTGAATGTAAGATGGGAAGCTGGGTGGGATGTTCCTAATCAAGCTATCAATATAGCTAGATATTGGTTCGGTGAGGGTTCCTGATCCAGATATGATGGGACGGCCTGGGTTCCCTTCTTTATGAATTTTTGGTAGCATGTAAAATCTACCTGGCACGGCGTTTTTAGCAGTTAATGCCTTTGCCGCATTTTCGGTAATTTCCCCCTGTTCTACCAGCTGGCCCAGCTGCTCCCGTATGATGTCGGCATGTTGCCTGGTCGGATCGTTTCTGAGATGACAATAGAATTTTGCATCGTTAAGTTGTCTATTGCCTTCATGTAAGTAATCGCTGGTGTTAAGAATGACTATGGCGCCCCCCTTGTCGGCAGGTTTTATCACGATGTCGTCTCTCTCGCTAAGGGACCTGAGTGCCCTCCGCTCTGGAGCGGAGAGGTTGTAGTGGTTAGGCTGCTGTTTTCTAAATGCCGCTACGATGTCTTTCTGAACAGCATTAATAAAAATGTCTAAATGCCAGTTTTGGGAGTCCAACCAGTCGATGTGGATGAAAGAGCAGACGCGCCTTCGCGGGGCCTGTCGAAAAAGAACTCCTGAAGTCGAAGGTTGCGAGCAAAATTGTCTAGGTCTTGAAGCAAAGAAAATTCATCATATCGGCCTGTTGTGGGGCAGAAGTTGAGACCCCGCGAGAGGAGCGACGACTCGTGGGTGGACAGTTTTATGTTTGATAAGTTAACTATGTTAGTGGATTCGGGAATACAATTCTGCGTTTCTCGTTCGCACACTCTCCTCGGTGGATCCCGAGTGGGTAGTTCTACGTCTGATGAGCTAACTTCGTTATGGGATTCGGCCCTGCAGCTCTGCATGTTGCGCTCAAACACACCTGCCGGAAGAGGTCCAACATTGTCCCTAGTCAACTTGTGATCCTTTACCTCACTGAGCATCCCCCGTTTTCTCTCTTCAAACACTTTTAAAGCCACGGTTTCATGCTGTGCTAAATCACGATCGCGGAGTAAATTACGTTCGGCTTGTTTAACCGCGGCTGAAGCTGTTTCGCAATGTTCAATAGTTATCCTCACCAACTCGAGAGACGCGTTAGTGAGAACCGTATTCCATCTCTTCAGTTCGCTCTGAGACAGCGCTGTCATGCTAGGCTTCAAGGTAATTTGTAAGCCTTTAGGGGCGATGCGCGCGTCAAGGTAATATTTAAGGTATGCGGCATGCAAATCGTGGCGTACTCTTTTGTCAGCTAATTTTCTAAGTTGTAAAAAAGTCCGAGATGGCAAGTTGTCGCGGTCTGCGTGGGTCTCACTCAGTACAGGGGGAGCTCGGGATGTGTCCCGCGGTGGTCGTCAATCCCGCTGGGGACGGACAACGTCGCCGAACGTCCTCCGCAGGTTGTATCTGGGTGGAAGGGTGGGCCTAGGGATTCGATTCACGCGCCCCGCAGGGCGGGTCGCCAGGGCGGGACGCTTGGGGTTGTCCTCCGACGACGGAGGGGTGGCGTTTGCCGACGAGCCGCAGGCGAGTCCATGGTCCGACTGTTCGAAGCACTCGGGGACGACCGCCGAGGACGGGAGCGGCGGGAACTCTGCGAGACCGCCGCCGAATCCAGGGTCCGGCAAGTCCGCCGGGACCGGGCGCCGAAGGTGCAACAATGTATGGGCACAGTCGTCCGAAGGAGCGGCATCCCGCAGGGGGCCCGCCGCCACGCTCAAGTCGGGGTCGTTGGTGGTCTCTCGAGAGGTGGCCTGGTCCCGCCACATGTGAGCTCCCCGGCGGTGACATCGCTGGAGTAGTCGGTGCACGTTCCACGCTAGGTAGGACACGCCGGCGAAACTCGCGTGTACGCCATCCGCCGCCATCACAAGGCGTATAGGAAGATGGTCGAGGCAGTGATCCAGGAAGAACGTGTTAAGTGTCTGGTGGCACAGGTGGCGGAGGCCACCGTTGAAGCCCCGCGCCTTCGAATTGAACCTTGCCACGTAACTCCAGTTTGAAGAGCCTCGGCGCCGGTTAGGAGCACGAGGCAAGACCAAGGTTACGTACACGTTTACGATGTCCGGACGTTGCTCGCGAACCAGTTTTAACAGGTTACGGTACCTGGTTAGTGCCAAAGAGACGCCGACGGTGGCGAGGTCATTCGTCCCCAGGTGCAGGATGAGGCGATTGACACCTCGGGGCACGAAGTCCAACAGATGCCTGGCGTCCATGATGCACGCTCCTCGTTGGGAAATGAAGGCGGGCGATTCCTCGTTGCACGGGTCGAAGTGGTGGTGTAAATATTTAACTTGAGAGTCCCCGATAATAGCGGTTGTTGGAGCATGAGTTGGAAACTTCCAACCAATCAACTTCGAAGTGGCGCGGTCGGCGTCCATCGTAAAAATAGACAAAGAAAATATAGCGTAGG